TTTTCTAACATAAAGTTACTTAGTCTTTCATACAAAGCTCTGGGAGCTTGTTTCAGACTATAAAGTGACTTCTTTAGTTTGAAAACATATTCTGGGTGTTTGGAATTTTCAAACCCAGGGGGTTGGTGCACAAATACCTCTTCATCAATGTAACCATTTAAGAATGCGCTTTTGACATCCATCTGATACAGAGTGATGCCATTGTTTATAACAAAAGAGATTAAGAGTCTGATAGATTCTAACCTGGCGACTGGAGCAAAGGTTTCTGTATAGTCTATCCCCTCTTGCTTATTATAACCTTATGCAACCAGTCGTGCCTTATTTCTGATGACTTCTCCTTGCTCATTCAGTTTGTTTGTGAACACCCACTTTTGTTCCAATGATGTTAAATCCTTTTGGTTTGGGAACCAGATCCCATACGTCATTTCTGGTGAATTGGTTTAACTCTTCCTGCATTGACAGGATCCAGTCATTGTCTAGAAGAGCTTCATTAATTGTTGTTGTTTCAATCATAGATACTAATCCCATGAGGGATTCTTCAGAATTTCTGAATGTTGATCTTGTTCTGATTGGATCATCCTTCTTTCCCAGAATGTTATCTTCATGGTGGGCTATGTTGCTTCTGGATAACCTTTTCTGGAGTTGATTAATAGAAGGTAATGGAATGCTTGTGACATTCCCTTCTGACGTTGTTGGAGCGTCTCTGTTGGGAACTTCTGATGAGTTGCCTTTAGCACATGTGAATTCAACTTCTATATCTACAAAAGATTCATTCTACTTTGACTTTTGAGGGTCAAGCTTATCATCAAATCTAACACTGATTGACTCTTCAACAATCTGTGTTTCTGTATTGTATACTCTGTACCCTCTTGAGCATTCAGAGTATCCTAACATAATACACTTCTGTGCTTTAGAGTCAAACTTGTTTAGATGATCTTTAGTGTTCAGAATAAAACATGTACATCCAAAAGGATGGAAATAAGAAATGTTAGGCTTTCTATTCTTCCATAATTCATATGGAGTCTTTTCCATAATAGGTCTTATAGAGATTATATTCTGAATGTAACACGTTGTGTTAATTGCTTCTGCCCAGAAGATCTTAACAATGTTATTCTCATTGATCATGGTTCTGGCCATTTCTGGCAATGTTCTTTTCTTTCGTTCTACAACTCCATTTTCTTGGGGAGTTCTAGGACAAGAGAAATCATGCGAAATGCCTTTTTCATTAAAAAATATTTCAAATTTTTTGTTTTCAAACTCTCCACCATGATCACTTCTGACTTTGACAATTCTAAGATCCTTTTCATTCTGAACTTGGTTACAGAAAGCAACGAACACAGAATGTGACTCGTCCTTAAGTTCTAAGAACTTTACCCAAGTCCATCTGCTATAGTCATCTATGATCACTAACTCATACTTCTTGCCACTAACATATGCATTTTTCACTGGTCCAAATAAATCTATGTGCAAAAGTTCTAATGGCCTAGAGGTAGAAACAACATTTTTAGCTTTAAAAGCAGGTTTTGCAAATTTGCCTTTCTGACATGCTTCACATAGAGCATCTGAGATGAACTTCAGATTAGGAAGTCCTCTGACCAGATTGAGTTTGTTAATATGAGATATTATTCTCATACTAACATGCCTCAATCTTCTGTGCCAGACCCATTGCTCGTTGTTAACAGAAAGAAGGCATTTTACATTCTGACTCTTTAGTTCAGAAAGTTTTATCTTATAAATGTTGGTTTTCCTCTTTCCATTAAACAGGATAGTTCCATCTTTCTGACTAACATCTTTGCATGAATTTTGGTTAAAGATTATATCATAACCGTTATCACTTAATTGACTTATAGATAACAGGTTATGCATCAATCCATCAACTAACAACACATTATTAATAGAAGGAAGATTACCATTACCTACTATTCAAAAGCCAATGATCTTCCCTCTTTGGTTGCCTCTAAAGCCCACGTAGCCTCCAAGTTTAAATTCCAGGATTCGAAACATATGCTTTATTCCCATCATGTGTCGAGAGCATCCAGAGTCCAGGTACCATGACTGGTGTTTTAGCCTTGCTGCTAAAGATATCTGCTACATATAAAATTTTGTCCTTAGGTACCCATATCTTTATGGGTCCTGGTTTGTTAGTTTTACCAAAATTCTGTTTGAATTTTGGTTTGGCAGAATAAGCATTGCTAGTGTATTTCAGATCATGTGTATGCCCATAAGTGAAGTGAGATTTTAGTGGTGTGCGTTTAATTACTAGGTCCATGACTTTCTTAGGTGGAGATACCTTACCTTGGTATCCTATTCCTTTACTTCCATTTCTGCTACTCCATAGATCATTGAATCCATCTTTCTTCTATCTATGTTTTTAGCCAGAAACTTCTGAAAGCTGTGATCATATTCTTTTATTATCTTATCAGCATTACTGGGATCCTCTGAGATTATTTCTTTCTGAGAGTTTTGTAAATCATTTTCTAGTTTTGAAATCTTTTCTATTAACTCATAATTTTCTAATCTAAGACTCTCAGTTTCTTCAGAGTCAGAAGCAAGATCCTTTTTCAGGTTCTTGAATTTGACTCTGATTTGCTGATACCTTTCCAGAATTTCACTCAGACTTTCTCCTAGTTCAGCTTTGGTAAAATTAACAGTGAAGTCAGAAAATACCTCTTTTGTGTTTGATTTTGAGTCTGACCCAGATTCTTCGCTGTCTTCTGTCACATTTTCCATAAGAGCAATGTTGGCTCTTTCATCATCTGACTCTGAGTCTGCGTCAGAAGTATCTGAATCATCACATGTTGCCATGAGACTTTTCTTCTTCTCCTTGAAGAACTTATTTTTGGGCTTCTCCTTCTGAACCTTGGAAAATCACATTTGTAGTGCCCTTGTTCATTGCACTCATGGCAGATGATGTCTCTGTTGTTTGACTTTATGTGACCAGAAGAAGCTTCAGACCTTCTGTGTCCAGAGAAGGGCTCAGACTTTCTGTATCCAGAGGAGGATTCATTCTGATTCCCTGATCTTCTGAAGTTTCTAAATTTTCTTTGCCTCTTCTTCCACAGCTGATTGACCCTTCTGGAGAGAAGAGACAATTCGTCTTCTTCTGATGAGGATCCATCAGAGGTTTCTTCCATATCCTATAAAACCTTAGAATCAAGTTTTTTGTTAGATTTTAATGCTAAAGGCTTACCTTGATTCTGAGGCTCGTCATCTTCTAGCTCTATCTCATGTCTTCTAAGGGAGCTAACAAGTTCCTCTAGAGATATGTTGTTGAGAGCTTTGGACAATCAGAAGTACAAGTTTTTAGCTTTTGGCTAGGTTACTTAATTTTGAAGAAAAGAGGGAAACAAGTTTCAAGAGGAGGTACAAGCATGGAATGGGTGATTGTAAGTGTCTAAACCATTTCTCATGAGTTATAGGACTTGTTTGATCATAAGAGAACAAGTGCAAGGCTCAAGAACAAGTTTTGTACAAAAAGTCACTTTATCAAAATGGAAATGTAACCTTTCTTCCAAAAATGGATATAAAGCATGTCCATGCATTGAATGCTTGAATTGAGACCTATAACAGCTGTGAAAACCATTAATTATGGAGTTCCTAACAAGTTTGAGGCCTGCAAAGTAGTGTTTATGCAGCACAGTTTGAATTTTGAACTTGGTTCATCACAAAAATGACTTGTAAATTAAGTGATAAAACCCTAACTTCATCTCTTCGATTCTCCCTACTCAAGAATGATCTCAGGAGTCACTACGCTAAATAATCTATTTAATAGCGCTTTTTTTTTGTTTTTGATAGCGCTTAAAAGTGCTATTAACCGCGCCACTATTGTAAATATTTCTTATTTAATAGCACTTTAAAAGCGCTATTAAAGTACCAATTTATAATAGCGTTTTAATTAAAGTGCTATCAAAGTCAGTATTTTGCATGTTTTTTGTTTGTTTTTTTATAGCACTCTAAACAAAAAGCGCTAATATATAACATATGTTTGATAGCGCTTTCAAATAAAGTGCTAATAAATGGTACATATTTGGTACAATATTTTTAATAAGTACAGTACAATATTTTTTCTTACACAATCATTTTTTTGTGTAAATATAAAATAACTATATTCAATTCAACACAAATAACGCTTTAAGTTACTCATTGCATATATATTATGATCCATCAAATACCAAATAACATTTTAAATTACCAAATCCTATTGTTTCCAAATATCATAACATATAGAATATTAAGAGGGCGTTTGCATATCCAAATTTGTAGATGCCCATCTATGAGTACTTCAATCCAAATCCAAAAACATACAATCAAATTCTCTAAACAAAACACCAAAAAAATAAGAAAGGATAACAAAACAATCCCATGTAGTAACCACCTTCATGATCCAAAAGCGTTGAACTCATAGATACAATCACTAATTAGGCAAAATAATTGCTTCTTGTTTTCCTGTATCATAGAAGGAATATTGATTATGTATTGTACAATAAAAACTAATTCAACATATAAAGAATAATCAAACATTTAATATGGGTCTAACAAGAAGCGCATAAAATAAGGAATGATTATTATAAACTAATAACAATAAATCGATATAACTAATGCAATAATTGAACTAATTAAGTCTAACAAGAACATGACTTGTAAATATATAGACCACAATTTCCATTATTAGATGCATATAAACACTAAACAGAATATAATTCAAATTCTCAAAATATACATAAACACTTAATTGTGTGTAACTTTCTTTTCATGATCCAGAACTAGATATCAAACACCTTACAATTGTTACTACGAATATCTAAAAATTTCAAGTAGAAACGGAAAACTATAAATCAATCATACAATAAGATATAAGTCATTTTTCCGTATTTTCCTATTTCAAAATTTAAATTCGAGACCAAGAAAGAACACTCAGTACCTCTGTGCCATATCTTCTAAACCAATAAAATACTAAAATCATTTATACGACAACTCTAAATCCAACTCAAAAATTAAAATTAAACATCTAAGTCAAAACATTTGAACTCTAAATCCATGAGTAATATTTGTCTTGTTTATCAAGTATCAAGTCAAGGAAAAACTCACCGAAAACATCATCCACCACATAAGTAGCCCAATCCTCCTTAACCTCAGTTAACTTATCATGAGAGTAGGTACGACATTTGTGGTCAAAAAAGTACTTCAAATATGAAAACATCAACAATTAATCGTGTTAGAATTAAATTATATTAATTTAATTTACAAAAGAATAATAATAATTAAAATCACGTACATTTGTGGGGATCATAAATTCATTTTCCATGATGACCTCTTTCATAAATCGCATTACAAAGTATCCACAATCAACGCCATTAATTTGACGAGGACACTACAAAAAAAAAATTTATATCGATTAATTTTACTCCACATAATTGTTTTAAAATAACATTAATTTAGACACATACCTTTATTTTTTTCCATGAGATTTTCTTTGACTTTGACACTTTAGGCACTTTAGAACTACTATTAGCACGATAAATTTGCAAAGCGCTAACAAAATGAAATTAACTTCAAATGAGTAATTATATAAATAATAATACGTACATAGATTTTAAATTAAAAGAGTCTATACTCACTTCTCAAACTTTGTTTTAAAATTTTGATGTTTTGTTGGCTCACCATTCAACGGATCCATGTAATATATCACCTCAGCATTGAGATTGATGACAAGCAACACCCAATGTTTCCTGCACCCAACATTTAAATATTGCATTAAAGATTCACATTCATTAGAGTTTTTTCTCGTTAATTTAATAACTTTTTGAATATAAATCTCACCCTAGATTACAAGGTGCAAGAATCATCTTATCCTTGAACTCCTCATCTTTCAAAAGTATTTTTGCTATACCATTTCCTAGATTATCCTCCCGTAATACATGTGGAGATATGAAAGAGAACTTATTTATTAATCCATTTGGACTAATAAACTTGTCATACAAATACCTAGAAATGAACAACAATTGATATTAATATATTTGTCACCAATGTGAATATTAGTCAACAATACAAATAACATTAATATTAATAATATATTTGTCAAATAAGAGAATATTTGTAATAATAGAGGTACCTGGAAAATACAGTGATAATAGATGCACTTAACCAATTATGATCAAGAATCTCCTTTATACTCTCTACACGTAGTTGCTCTAAAAACTCCTCACCAAATATACTTTCCTCCATTTTTATTTGAATTAATGATCCAACCTTCATCATCTTTTTCACATACATATCAAGGAAAGGTAAATTTGCAATACCAGCTGAACCGCCAACTCTAGGAGACTCTTCGATTTTGAATTTTTTGTTACTTTTGTTGGGTGATGAAACTGAATATTCAACACTGTGTTGAATATTGTTACCTTTGTTTTGGGATTGACCAGGAATCTAAAAAGTTGTATTAATTAATATTAGTGATCAAATAATAAAACAAGTAGCGATCAAGCAACTTGATTATAAGTAATTTACCTTTTCACATTCAGCAACAAATTCAAGAAGTTTCGTTGGCCATGGCACAATTGTTCCTATTGCTTGACCAACCATGGATACATCTCCATCTTCAACAGATATAGGAAATGGGGCATTTGGCACAATAGCAACTTCGATATTAACCTTGACATATCCAGGTGGTAACGTCATGCCATGTACCGTGTTACCTTTGGTGTTATATAGTTTTCCACGAGCAACCAAACAACGACTCGGGGAGGATAAATATATATTAACAGGAAAGAGACCCTAAACCAATAAGATATGAATAAAAAGATTAACATCATTATTGAAAGAACAAACATATCGAATTTGAGAGATAATAAAGAAACCAATTACCTCGGGAATGTTGCCAAATGATCCAGGGTTGCAAGAACCTTTATCACTAGGTAGTCGACTCTCAGCTACTTTTTCTGGTTGTTTCCTTTCTACCACTTGTTCAAGGTGTTGTCTCTGTGCCACTTTTTCAGGTTGTTGCAACCTCTCTGACACTTGTTTAGGTTGTTGCCTTTCTTCCACTTCTTCAGTTTGTTGCCTCTCTAGCTTCTCTCTATCCAACTTATCTCTCTCAATCTTTTCTCTCTCTAGCACCTCCAATCTACTTTTGAGTGAATTACAAAAGCCATACAATTTTTCAAAATCCATTTGTGTGGGGCGATTTTGGCGTGGTAATATGTCCCTAGAACATACCCCAAAACCATAAGTCCTAACACGTCCAGAGTAGTTTGGGAGATTAAGAGCCTCAAATAATATGTTTGTGGGACCAAGGTCTTGTCTCTCTTCTTCAGATAGAGCTTCTGTTAACTTCTCCTGACATTGATAAGTATAAAAGAAATAACCAATAGTTAGATACAAGTTGCAATTAATGGCTATTCTATCAAAATAAGACACAAAGACTCAATTAATTAAGGAAAATCGAGTTTAATGACTTCAAACTAACTAACAAAATACAAATTCGGTAACAATGATGAGTATAGAAAAAGTGTCACATCTATAATGTGAGCATTTTGGAAATAACATCTATAGTGTCACATCTAAAATTCGACTTACACATTGATCCACAACTCTTTGAACATTCTCATTATCAATCACCCCGCTCTTATTGACGCGGGCAGCCTTCCACACTTGACTACGGTTTATCTCACCAACTTCTGACTCTTCTACCTGTATATACATTTTTTAAAATTAACATAGCAATTAAATTTTTTTATAATATTGTATAGTACATTTATACACATACTTACCATATCAGCTTCAAGACGAGCACACCCTAAACGTGACTTTCTATAGGGATGTTGAGGATTTAACGCTCTTTCTCGATTCTCATCACTAACTTTCTGCATTTATTATAAAAAATGCATCCCACAACACTATCACTAATACTATAATCATGCAAAACTTTAAGGATCCATATCCAAGTGATAAAAGTATTACCTGAAACTTTGCAGTCATATGTTGGGTTACAAATTTATCCCAATCATCTTGTTTTATACAAAAAGAATATTTGGCCGGACGATGTTTAACAAAACCACCCTTACTATCTTTTAGATATGACCTCGCCATTTTTGTTCTGAATGCCCTGTGCAACTTTCCAGCTTCTCTATATACAAAGGCACGATGTTCCTCGCCAATTATAAAAGCTTTCTGCAAATAATTCAGTTTATTAAAACATAGTTCAGTTTATTTAAACATCCCAATGGATAGATTAACGAAATTAAAATTTTACAACTAGCTTAAGTTAGTGTGTTACTTCAATTTCATCCCAAATGTTTTGTTTATAAACCCCCACAGCCTCTTTATTTTTTTTCGCGCTCCAATTGTCCAAGCTTATTGGAACTAACCGACGAACTGTGACACCAATGAAACTAGCAAAAGTCTTGCTATTATGCTTGATTGGTTGACCTCTGGAATTCCATTGAACCTATAACAAAATTAAAGTGCAAATAAAGAATCAACAGTCTCACTAATAGTGTTTAACATTCAAATAGTTTCAAACAACTAACTCATAAAAGATAATCATGTATGTAACCATCACTCATACATAGTTCAGTAAAAGGAAAATTGCCAAGAGAGTAAACAGTATCATAAAACTCTAGCTATTTTACCTCAATTCTCTTTCCATTGCTTTTGGCTTTGTGAATTTTTTGCAATCGGGTCACACCACGTTTACCAACTGTTTTCTTACTAGACGAACCACTTTCATCATCAATAGAAGCCATATTTCACCTATAAAAATTTAAAAAGTTATATACCATACAAGAATAACATTAAGAAGCAATAACAATAAAAAAATGAAAAACAAATAAATAAACCATACAAGATTAAGTCGGCCTTTTCCTCTTCCTTGTAGTTGGATTCCTACTTTTCTGTTTTCTAGTTACATAAAATGATGGATTGATCCAAATCCCATCACTGTGATCGTTTCTTATATAAAGAATATCATCTATAATTGATTCAGACTCAAGGGATTGTGAAGTATTAAAGAAAGGGTCATCCTCAACATCTATATTTGGAGTGGTGTGATCATTTATTTTGTTACTTAGAAACACAATAGACCACTTTTCATCAGCAGGATCAGTGACATAGAACACTTGGTGAGCTTGTGATGCTAAAATAAAAGGCTCGTCTTTATACCCTACTTTATTAAGATCGACCTTCATGAACCCAGGGTTAACTTGAAGGCCATTGTTATTGTCAACCCACTTGCAACCAAACACGGGCACTTGAAAGCATGAGTAATCCAATTCCAAAATACGTTCAATGACCCCAAAATATGACAATTTGGAAAATGCGGGATTTCTATTTTTGGAACTTGAGATATGCACAGATTCAGCTACGAGTGTGACACCGCTATTTTGCACAGTGCTTTGATGATCATGTTCTTCTGTATAAAATGTATACTTGTTAATTATATAACCAGAGTACGATAGAACATTTGAATTTGGACCATTTGCTAGCCATCTCAATCTTTCTGAAATTGAATCAGGATTTTTAGCAAATTCTGAAAAAATGTGTTCTTTTAGCCACGGTATAAAACTTCGATTGTGTTCTCTTGTTAACCAATTTTCACTCTTATTAGGGTTCAAACTTTGAAGTATTTCTTTGTGCTTTTCAACATATGGCTCAACCTCATCAGCATTGTGTAGAACATACAAGTGTGATTGCTCCAATTCGATGTCTGACATGGTTACTAGTTTACTTGCACCAATCCCTTCCCCTGTTGTTTTTCCAGAGTGTCGTGACATTGGAATCCCTATGGGCTCAATATTAGAGAGGTATTCAGTACAAAACTCAATGGCTTCTTCAACTAAATATCGTTCAACAATACAACCATCTGGTCGACTTTGATTCTTCACGTACCCTTTTATTATCTTCATGTAACGCTCAATCGGGTACATCCACCTCATATAAGCTGGTCCACAATATTGTGTTTCCATTATAAGATGGACTGTAAGATGAACCATTATGTCAAAAAATGAGGGTGGAAAATACATCTCAAGCTCACATAATGTGACAACAATTTCCTTTTGTAACGTCGGTAACTTCTCAGGGTCAATAACTTTGCTACAAATAGCTTTGAAGAAAAAACAAAGTTTAGTTATGGTCCATCGCACATTTTCAGGTAAAATGGAACGTATAGCCACTGGAAGAAAGTTCTCCATTAAAACATGACAATCGTGAGACTTTAAACCCTTCAATTTGAGATCTTTCATAGATACCAAACTCTTAATGTTTGATGAGTAGCCCTCTGGAACTTTAACATTGTGAAGAACCTTACACAAGATCTTTTTCTCTTTTCTTGACAGAGTATGAGCTGCTGGAGGTAGAAATGTACGCTTCCCATCCCTCTTAACCGGCTGTAACTCATTTCTTAATCCCATACTTTGCAGGTCTAACCTTGCATTAATGCCATCCTTAGACTTTCCTGGAAGATTGAGTAATGTACCAACGACACTTTCAAACACATTTTTTTCTATATGCATCACATCAAGGAAATGTCTAACATACAATGACTTCCAATACGGCAATTCAAAGAAAATTGACTTTTTTTCCATCCTCCCTTTACAAGTTCACTTGAAAATGGCTTTCCAAAATTAGTGCTCAAAAGCTTTACCTTTTGGTATAATTGATCACCCGTCAAAGCCAAAGGAGCTCTATTTTCTTCTGATTCACCATTAAAAGCTTTTCTCCATTTTCGAAAATGATGGTTGGTATTTAAAAATCTACGGTGTCCAAGAAATACATTCTTCATACAATACTCCAATCGTATTGAATGTGTACCATCTTCACATATGGGGCATGCAAATTTTCCTTTTACATTGTAGCCTGATAGATTCCCATAGGCAGGAAAATCATTGATTGTTCCAAATAACATAGCCCTCAAGTTGAAGGATTCTTTTTTATACTCATCATATACCTCCACACCTGTCTCCCACATATGCTTTAAATCTTCAATTAATGGAGCCAAGTATACATCTATATCATTTCCTGGTTGCTTGGGCCCAGAAATTAACATACTCAACATCGTGTATTTGCGCTTCATACATAGCCATGGAGGTAGGTTATAAATCAACAAAATGACTGGCCAAGAAGTAAGTTTACTACTTTGAATACCATGAGGATTTATTCCGTCAGTAGACAATGCAAGACGTAGGTTTCTTTCTTCCTTCCCAAAATTTGGGTAATCATGATCAATTTTTGCCCATTGAGGAGAATCTGCGGGATGTCGGAGCATTCCATCAACAACCCTTTCATTTGCATGCCATGTTAAGTTCTTTGCGTCTTCTGCATTATGATACATGCGCCTAAATCTTGGTATTATCGGAAAATACCATAGCGTTTTGGCTGGAGCTGTTTCTTTCTTCTTATAGCGTGGGGCACTACATTTAGGACACATATTCAACGATGCATACTCCTTGCGAAATAAAATGCAATCATTTGGACAAGCATGTATCTTCTCGTAACTCATGCCAATAGAACATAACAATTGTTTAGACTCATATGTTCGACTAGGGAGCACGTTGTTCTCAGGCAAAATATCCTTTAACAGAGTCAACAAGTCTGTGAAGCTCCTATCGGACCATCCATGGCGTGCTTTTAAGTTATACAACTTTAAGACCGTTGACAGTCTTGTGAATTTAGTACATCCATCATACAACGGAGTCTCTGCATCACTTACTATCCGCTCAAACATTTGAGGACAATCACGAAGATCTTCCTCAATTACATTGACAAATTCTTCAACTCGATCAAACGCATAATTCGTATCTTTTTCAAAATCATTTGATGAATCTCTCCCATTGCTCCTTTTTGTGGACTTGGTTTTTTTTTTCCCGTGCATTATCCAGCATGTGTAGCTTTTATCAATTCCATTACATATTAAGTGATCTTCCAAAACATTTGCACTAACATCCGTATAACAACATTCTAAGCAAGGGCATATGATTTTACTAGTGTCTTCAGCATGAGCAATAGCAAACCTAACGAACTCACGAACTCCATCTTCATATTCTTTTGACGCTCGATTGGCAAACATCCATTTTCGATCCATATTTCCTAACAAGTAACATATATAACTAGTTAAAAATTGGTTCTAACAACCAAATTATGTATTTAAGAGTCATATAGCATATGAGATTATGAATTTGATTTTGACTTTATGATCCATATGAGATTATGAATTTGATTTTGACTTTATGATGAACTTGAGTTTGAGCAGGATATACGAAGGAAAATAGCAGCCTTGTGGTGATTGGGCTGAGTGTGCATACTACACCGGTGGAGTTGCGTGAGAAACTTGCTATACCAGAAGCTGAATGGCCAAGAGCCATTGGTGAGCTTTGTGGTTTGAATCATATTGAAGAAGCAGATGTTCTTAGTACGTGTAACAGAATGGAGATTTATGTTGTTGCACTTTCTCAGCATCGTGGTATCAAAGAAGTCACTGAATGGATGTCAAGTGTAGGTTCTATCATCACTTGTTTATCTATAAGCACTTCTTATGAAAATAAAATGCCAATAAAAAGAACCGTCTTTGAGGGTGTATAAGTCGGGCTATTGCGCATAACCCAAAAGCCCAAAATTTGTCACACTAAAACCGTGGTTAAAAAAGGTTTCATAAAATATTATCATGATTAAACAAAACTTTTACTTGTTTTGTCATAGTTAAACTTCAACTAACCAACACAAAACTTTCAAAAATTTGAGACGGCTATGTCAATAGATATATTTAGATAGATTTATTTGAGTTTATGTATTGATATAAACATTTGTAAGACTATTTTGGTGAGTGTATGAAAATTACTTATGGTATTTTCAGGCAGCCATTTTGTTATCAAACTTGTCATTTGAGACTGTTGGGAATGTAATGGAACCAGAACAGTTATGCGACGCGGTTAATTTTATTTTATCCCTGCAGGTATATGTTTGGTATTTGATGGAGTAATTGAAAATTCTGAGCAACTTAAATACTTCAATTGAATTACCTTCATTTCTAATTTTTCGAGATTTCATTAAGCACTATTACTAAGTATTCAGGAATAAGAAAAATGGTTTTGTTCAAATTTAATTAGAACTTCAACCACTAGGCATCATTGGCTTAATCATTTTGCTCGTCGGCATTAAATATATTACAGAATAGAAATGGTGGATTTGCTTCCTACGAACTCACAAGATCTTATGCATGGCTGGAGGTACAACAAATTACTTTCTCTATTTTAGATTCAATTCTTAAATGATTTAACACTTAATTGGTTTCTGTGACAGAAAATAAATCCAACTGAAACATTCGAAGATATCACCATTAATTATCAGTATGTACCTGACATTGACACATTTCCTTGTAACAATTTCTGTCTGTCAATTTGTGAAAAATGAGTCCAATATAGGTATGTAGAATGCACATCAGCAGCGATTCAAAGCCTCACCTTATTCACTCAACGATATCCGCAGCACATGAAGGTGGAAATAGAGACCTGCATAGCTAAGGCTGCAAACTTCATCGAAAGCGTACAGCTAGCTGATGGCTCATGGTTTGGTTTGCTTTAATAGTCCAGTAACTTAATATTCAACAAAATGATTTTAATTTCGTAACGCGGGTTTAACGAAATAGGTATGGATCATGGGGGGTATGCTTTACATATGGGACATGGTTTGGAATAATTAGGCTTATAAGAGCAGGTAAGAGGTACAAAGATAGCAAAATCATTAGAAAGGCATG